GCACAACGGAAGCTCAGCAAAGCGAGGTTCGGGGCCTGATGCACTTGGCTTCACAGGTGTGTTAACTAGTTTAGATCTACAGCAGAGTATGTGTGAAATTGCATCTAAGCAATGACTGGGATGTATGGAAGATGGCTCCCAGCCAAGCAATCAAGCGCAAGCAGAAGCAAGCCGACACGTCTCATGCTTGCAGCGTGGACTTTAAAGGAATTCCAACACCAGAGAACCTTCCATGACAATAGACAAGCCCTCGACGTCAATGAACGAAACTGTTACGCCAAGGTCCAACATGAAGGACAGCTGCATCGGCCTAGCTGCGCCTTCCCTTCCACTTCTCCTTCCTGGCAGTTAGAAGGTCAGAGGTTGTCAAGGCTTCCATCGAGCGAACGATGCCTCAATGCAAACCCAAACCATGCCGGGCATGCAACACCAATTGTGTGATACACGGTGGGCGGTCTCACCTTAGGTCTCTGCCAGGAGAAACGTGCTAAAGATGAGGCTTCCATTGTCCCTACAGCCGCCACTAAGCTGCACTTTTCCTTTGGAACTGGCAGATTTGGGCTGAAGGGGCTCCTCACACACCCACATCGGGCGGCCTCTAACGTGAAGGGGCAGCCAGTCAAGTCCTTGCACGGTCGCGCAGCATGCAGACGTGTGTGCAAGTGACGCACACGGATCGGCGGTGGCCAGGAGTTGAAAGGTTGGGGTGGATGTGGGGCTGCAAACGGTTACAAGAACGGGGTATGGTGTATGATGATGTATGCAATCACCTTTTCCTTCGGGGTTTTAGAGCAGCTGCAGCTCTCAAAGGCCTCGTCGGCACCTTCGGGCCCGATGGAGATCTGCAGACTAAAGCCTGAGAACTACTTTGGGCACACACAGAAAGAACTGTGCTACGTGCACACATCCAGTGACCCTGGTGACCGCTCTTGCTGCAACTTGTCATGAACTACAGAGCTGGCACGCTCCCCTGCTTGAGCTGCAGGCTGCCCGGTGTTAATGGCAAGAAGGTCACTTTGTACCTGGAGGCACGGGGTGTGCATCGCACAGGCTTTGGAGTCTGCCCAACTGATGCCGGCGCCGGTACACTGCTGTACCAGAACAGTCAGTCAGGATCATAGGATGACTGTGGGTGGCACACCTGCCATCTTGCAAATCTTCTACAGCCACATCCTGGAAGTCCTCGCGGCTGTCCCCCCCCTTTTCTCAGAGATCATGAACAACTTCAGAATACGCGCAGCACGCGAGTTCTATACCCAAAACCGAGATATACCGAGGTCCTCTGGATGGGACAAAGTTGCCACCACCCGGTCGCCTCAGGCATGACGAACGTATCCTAGACCCCGGAAGACCTGACTCTGCCCAGACCTCTTGCAATAGCTACGACGGCTCGAAGCATGCTAGCGTACGGGTACAGTCTGGGATGACACAGACAAGTGCTCCAGGGTCTCTTGTCATGCGTCTATCCCTTTGCAAGAACTTGTGACCTGTGGCTGCCACCTCCCTCTGTGCGGCGGACACCTTCCCGGTCACACCTGGGCAAGGCACATTCACATCATGCCAGGGTGGGGGGGTGAACTCTCTCAACTACGGACTCATCTCCACAATCACCCTGCAGCATGAAGCGCATACACGCTCGATGTCTAGCTCTGGTACGCCAGTGCATTGCAACTCTTTGGAATCCAGGTGTTGAGGCACCGGCGCAAACACCCACAGAAATGAAGGATTGTTGACCTGCGCGGGGGGGGGGGGGGGGGGGCGGGGGCACAACCCAACACACGCAAGCGACCAACTCTTCCAAGCAACTTGCATATACGTTGCTCGAACGAGAACAGCGTAAGCAGGGAGGACCGCCTTCAGCACTCCAAGCCCAGGTCCCTGCAAGCGCACTGATGTGCAATCAGCTTCAGTCTTGGCTACCTACTCTGCCCTGTCATCCGGAAGTGCAACTCCGCGCCAGTCTATTTGGAGGCATTGGGGTCCTTGTTCTAAGGGGATCCTCCTATTTGGGGGACTGTATTAGGGGTCTCTTGTTCTCCTAAACCCCCATGTGTACCCGGGCCTTCGCAAAGCTCATGGAGGCGTAGGTAGATTCTGAGCAGCAGATTTTTTCACAGCGGGCCAGGGTCACATAAGTGAAACACATCTGGGCACCATAATCATGGGAAGACCGCTCGGCTGTGTCGGAAATCATGTACGAGTACGTTCCCGTTAAACGTCGCAAGGATGACTCAACCGGAGACACGGCCGGCTTTGATTTTCATTGAAGGCCATTGATCAAGATGCTGAGAACCCGGCTTTCGCCCACCTGGCCCCATTGCGGAATCTTCTCTCCGAAGTCTGTGTCCCCAAGCCTGGCGTGACGAGGCTCGGGGCCTGAGATGCATGGCCTTCGTTTAGAAGCGCCTGAAGCGCACTACAGCGTCTGCGCGGAGCAGGTAGACACCTTCCATCGCTGCACCATTCGAGTCCTCCAGTCAGCTACGGCTGGCATCTACGAGACATTACGAGACTGTGTTCACACTCTGGCCCTGCACCAATGTGCAATGCACTGCCTTTTTCTGACAACCTTATTATTCTAATTAAGCTCTTCCCGGCATGACGGTCCTCTTGGTTTGGCGCAAAGGGACAAACTTGACCTCGGCCGTACATGTCTGTCTGGGTGTTCAACATAATTTGCAGCTGCATGCCTGTAAGATCATCAGGCTTGCAGCAGAAGCAGCTGAGTGGAAGATCCGACAAAAACACCCACAACGCGCTAACAACGGGCCGAGTCTTTTTGCAACATCTCGAAGACCACCGAAAGTCAAGCATGCCTGTGTGCCCGTTGCAGTCATGCCACATCCTACCCACAGCAGGAAGCGAAGCACCCTCCAGCTTGGCCGTGCATCAGGGCTGATCAGAGCTTGGGCGGTGACCCTGGATCTCCTGGAGCTGGTTTTCCAGCGTCTGGCGTCCCAGAGCAGATTGAAACGAGGCTAGTCGCTCCCTATCGCCTCTTCAGAAGATGCTCAAAACAACGAACTTAACGAAAGCACATGAAAGGAAAAGCCCCGGGAGGAGCTAGGCCCTCCCCCCACATCAGGGCACGGCCCCGGCTTTGATGTATGCTGTCTCCCGATCTGGCTTACCTTCTCCCTCGCGCAGTGCGCAGTGCGCAGTGCGCAGTGCGCAGTGCGCAGTGCGCAGTGCGCAGTGCGCAGTGCGCAGTGCGCAGTGCGCAGTGCGCAGTGCGCAGTGCGCAGTGCGCAGTGCAGCAAAAGAGGTCAGGCCTGTACTTTGGACTGCACCATGAAGTCAATCTGGTTGAGTAGCTCCTGTTGCCGGGCCTGCATCACTCGTCTGGACATTGTAAGAAACCCCAAATTCCAAATGAGCAGACGGCCAAAGACGGCTCTTTGGATGGCAGCAGCCTTTCCGGCCTGCAGCGCCTGGATGCGCTCAGAGACAGCTGCTGCAACCTTTCGAAGAGTCGCGTCATGCCGTGCCTCTATGTGCGCTCTATGTGAACTTACAGAAAGGGCACAAGCAAGTAGCAAACAAAACTTAGCAGCTCTCAACCTAAGTCATGTCGCAGCATCTCATTGGCAGTCTTCAAAAGTCATCAGCTCAGTTGAGAGCTCGGCTCTCAACAGGGCTCAAGTTAAGGGCGTTGCTCTACTCTACAGGGAGCTGCAGTTACGAGCTCTAACGCCGTGTCAAGCCTCATTCAAGCGGCTTTATAACGGGGAAATCTTTTGCGGATTCAGCGGGGGCCTCATTCCGGACCTTCTCTGCCTCACTGTGGGTGTCTGCGACGACGCGCCTGGCAGAGTTTGGGGTCGGCTTTTAGTACTGAGCATACAGAACATACAGCTATGAATGCTGTGGATCCGTGAAGTCGGACTGAACGGCTGCCAGGCTTCTGTACAGTTTCTTAGTCTTAGTCTGCAGGATTCTCTGTGGGCTGGAAACCAGGGCCGGAGAATTGCTGAGCGAACATATAACAGCCAAAAGTACATACTACATGAAGCCACAACCTTTGGGTCTTGGTGCTGTGGGTATCTGAAGTCTGCACAGTCTCGCCCGTTGCAGTTTTCGGGTTTGGCAGGTTTGCTGGCAACCCCAGGCCAATGAGCTCGAAATGCCAACAATTCCAATTTCGTCAGAGCACTTGTACTCATGGGAAGGCAAGGCAGAAACAGGGTATCCTACGGGTTGTTAATGATGTCTTGCGCGCTGGGGCAACTCTGCTTCGCAGATGCAGGCCTTGCAGCAATGGCACACACTTTTGGCAAGCTCTCAAGCAATAACAACACCACCCATTCACAGTGTGCACAGTGTACACTACAACATCTTCCACGAGACCGCCGAAGGATTTGGGGCTTGCACCTCACCACTTCTTCGGCGGACTCCGCTGTGCAATACAGCCCATCAATGCCTTGCACATGTGCTGAAACTCCACTGTGCCCACGCTGCCACTTGCCTCTGCAATATATCCTGCGGGTTGCAACCAAGCCGCGTCGAGCCATAGCCAATGTGGAGGAGGTGACCGTCCCTGAGGCGTGGCAAACTGACAAGGGATGCTGCTTACATTGGAGTACTTCGGCAAAAGGCGATAAATCCCTGAAGCTAAACCTGCAAGTACATTCTGCGGGCTATGTGTCTCAAGCATCCAAAGGTGAACTCCCTCTGCCTACTCTACGTCTCACTAGTTAGAATGTCTCAACACTCATGACCCAGGTCTAAGCTGCCGGCAGAAGGCGTGGAAGGCTCGCGACTCCCACAACCCCTAGAACTCTTCATGCGCAGGCGGCGGCGCGGCGACAGTCTTATCAGGATCACACCTTTGTCCTCCGAACATACAGAGGATAAACCTGTCAGCTTAGAAGCTGATCAAATCTCTGGGTTCCTAAACCTTCATACCTCATGACCATGCTCAGCCACGACACATGCCTATCAGAATCCAGGGCAGCGCTCTGCGACTGGTAGCTGCTTCAAGTCGGAACTCTGAAGTGGGCCTCTGCCACTGCTCTTCCTGCAGCCTCTCATGGCTTGAGGGGTGACCAGGGGTGCGAGAACTCGTTTCCTTTGGCACAGTTAAAGAGCTCTCCACCAAATGCGCAGTTTTCTGTCCCGCAGTTTGATGTCCCAAGTGCCCAATAGCGTGCAACATCGGCATGCTTGGAACTAGCCCCAAGGCTGCAGCCGGCAGCCATCGGCCCCTTTAGCAAGATTCTATCGCATGCAACCTTCCCCTGGTCCACTGCGGCTTTAAAGCTTCTGTAAAACGGACCCCTCGTGCCTCGACGAGCTCCCGACGCTCCAGGGGTCGTCGTTCCTCCACACTGCGGAGAGCATCTTGGACCTCTGCAAACATGTAAATATGCATCTAGGCTGCCAAAGACATTCCAGTCATCTTTTGGGGGAGCGTGCAGAAGTAAACCGATGCGAACCTGATGAAGCGCTGCAAATACTTGAACAACCGATCTCACAAGAATGCAACAGAAACTACCATTTTCCCAGTCCAGCATTGCGACGCATCTTTGCAGGCTATGTGGCCCCAGAGTACTTAGCGCATAGGATCAAAAAGCTCTGCTTTCTGTCGAAGCCTTCTTCAGGAGGTTGCGCTCCTCGCCCTGCCTCAGAATTCTGCAGCCGTCTTGGAGTCTTGTAGCAAAACACTCCACAGGCGGTGCAGCCTCCAAGGGTTTAACAACAGCTGTCGAGATGTGCCATGCTCCAGTAGAGGGGTCAACCGCTCCAAGGGTGGTCATAGGAGGGCCTTCCTCCCACAGAAAAGCTGCAAGAGCAGGTGTGCAAAGGGCACCGATTCCACGAATCCCAGACACCAAGCCGGCGAAACCCAAACGCTAGCACCTCGGGGTGGAAAAAAACAGAAAAACAAAACACTCCAGCAAAAATTACCAGAAACAATACTAAACAAAATAATCCCAATAATAACAATGATAATGGTGGTGGTCGTCGTCATCGTACAAGAATCAGATGTACTCATCAGAGTGGTATTCGCAGCAGTGACAGTGGCAGGAATTGGCAGGAAGCAGGAGCGGGGGAGGAGCAGTAGCAGTAGCAATAGCAATAGCAGTAGCAGTAGCAGTAGCAGTAGCAATAGCAGTAGCAGTAGCAGTAGCAGTAGCAGTAGTGGTAGTAGTAGTAGTAGTAGTAGTCGTAGTCGTAGTCGTAGTCGTAGTCGTAGTCGTAGTCGTAGTCGTAGTCGTAGTCGTAGTAGGAGGAGTAGTAGTAGTAGTAGTAGTAGTAGGAGTAGTAGGTGCAGGAGTAGTGGGTGCAGGCGTAGGCGTAGGCGTAGGCGTAGGCGTAGGCGTAGGCGTAGGCGTAGGCGTAGGCGTAGGCGTAGGCGTAGGTGTAGGTGTAGGTGTAGGAGCAGGCGTGGGCGTAGGTGTAGGTACAGGTGTAGGTGTAGGGGGTAGGTGTAGGTGTAGGTGTAAGGTGTTGCTGTAGCAGTTCAGCAGCAGCTTGAAACTATTAATGTCTGCATCGTAATAAAATTACGAACCACAACAATAATCCGAAGAACGATGGGAACATGAGTAAGAACAAGCATAAGAACAACAATAAGAACAAAGCTTAACATAAACAGTTAAACTAATAAACAGACTAAGAACAAGAAGAACAATCAGAATGGACAAAAATATGGAAATGAAAAGAGAATGAAAGCAAAAACCCGAATGCTAAAAAAATGTGAAGATGAAACAGAATTAGAGCAATACGAAGACGATGCATAAGAATATGAAAGAGACTAAGAACAAGGGCAATAATGAGAATAATACGCACAGGAGTATGACAATGAATAAGAACAGTAAAAAATCACAATACATATAGTGCTACAAGAACAATAATAAGATAAGAACAGCCGCCGAAAGAATCAGGATTAAAGTGCCGCAGCAAAACAAAACCATAAACCCCTCTGGAGACGGGGCCTCCGCAGCGCCGCAGCGGCAATGGCCTGCAAGAGCGAGTCGAAGCCGCAGGGACCCCGCATGCCGTGCGAGTGGGCCTGGTTGAGCTGCTCCACTGCATCAGCCTGGCGGATGCATTCATGTGCACTCGCTTCGCCATGCACTTGTAAGGCGGCGCCCTCGCTGCACTGCCCTAAATGCACATCTCACAGCCCAAGTGCAACATTGCCCAGCTACCGTAGCCACTTGGTCTCTATACTTACACCATACTTATATCTTGAGAGAAATCGACCCAGCCGAAAACTAAAGCCCTCAGATCCCAGCTCGGCCTGTAAGCGAGAGTCGCCGCTGACTGCATCCTCGAACCTTTTCATTGTTCAGCTACTTCGCTACTCTGCCTCATTTCTATTCGGATTCATCAAACAAGGCATTCAGTTTTGTGGCCACTTGTCCTACGAACTGGGGCCTGCGGAGCCGGGCAACCACATCCTCCTCTGTCTGCGCACAGCGGCATCGTTCAGCCACTACCTGTCGCATGTCGTGCTGGCTTGCATCTCAAGTCTTTGTGACTTTGCGCTTGTGGAGCTTCCGGAGCCTCAGCTGCCAGTGCTCGGGAAGTTCTTGCCAAAGCCGAGTGGGATTCGGCAAATGCATGGCCAAGGGAGGCCTCCATCGCACCACGCAATTAAGGTTCACAGCTAAGGGTGAGCCACTTCCGTTGCAATAGCAAACTCATCTGCAGGCAACGATAGTGATTTCACAGATCCGCACAGCTTTGACAGATGTATATAAGTTATATAAGCATGGATGGTGCCCGGCCTCCAACTCGCTGTTGGACGTGGCCACCCATTGCATGCGACGTTCCAGCGTTTCCTGCTGAATGGCTCTGCCAATGGAGCTTGCCCGTGAGCAAAGATTAGCATGCAAACAGTTGCAATGGTGTAGTGCTCTTTCGATGGAACTCTGTGAGAAGGAGGAAGTTCGTCTTCAGGATGTTTTTTGCAGGTCCCAACAGACCCCAAGAGACCTTTGAGACCCTTGGGACGCTTGACGGCTAGCACATCAGATCATTTGCCTGACGATATTGAAGCAGGCCACGTATGCTTGACCCGGCCCTGTACAGCGGACATCGAAACCAACGTGCCTTTGAGGGGCTGCCGGCTTTCAATACTCTCACGTGGGGAATCTCAAAACTCTGCAGAGTTCCAAGATGTGAATTCTTGGACAACTGGTCCTCGACGCCTCGAACACCAGCAGCGAGCCGGGAATTCTGCTGCGCAGCTGTCTGCGCCTGCTCGACGCTGCCAGCTACATTGTGGAATATTGTGGAGTCCACAGAGTGACAGCTCTATGAAGAAACGATGGAAACGGAACAGCATGTAATTCTCACTAACACATGAACAAGCATCAGCCGACCCCCTGCCTCGGTCTCAGCCTTGCACGCTGCTACTGGAGTTAAACTTGCACAAAAGTTGCACAAATCAAAGATGAACCCAGCGTTCAGGATGTTCGGGTCCAGATGGCAGCGATTGCATGTGGATGTGGATGTGGATGTGGATGTGTGTCTGTGTGTATGTGTGTGTGTGTGTTGTTCGTGTGTGTTGTTCGTGTGTGTTGTTCGTGTCTTGTTGTTCGTGTGTGTTGTTCGTGTGTGTTGTTCGTGTCTTGTTGTTCGTGTGTGTTGTTTGTGTGTGTTGTTCGTGTCTTGTTGTTCGTGGCTGTTGTTCGTGCGTGTGCGTGTGCGTGTGCGTGTGCGTGGGCGTGGGCGTGGGCGTGTGCGTGGGCGTGGACGTGGGCGTGGGCGTGTGCGTGTGCGGGTGCGTGGGCGTGTGCGTGTGCGTGTGCGTGGGCGTGGGCGTGTGCGTGTGCGTGCGTGCGTGCGTGCGTTGTTCGTGTGCGTTGTTCGTGTGTGTTGTTCGTGTGTGTTGTTCGTGTGTGTTGTTCGTGTGTGTTGTTCGTGTGTGTGTTGTTCGTGTGTGTGTGTTGTTCGTGTGTGTGTGTGTGTGTTGTTCGTGTGTGTGTGTGTGTTGTTCGTGTGTGTTGTTCGTGTGTGTTGTTCGTGTGTGTTGTTCGTGTGTGTTGTTCGTGTGTGTTGTTCGTGTGTGTTGTGTGGTGTGGTGTGGTGTGGTGTGGTGTGGTGTGGTGTGGTGTGGTGTGGTGTGGTGTGGTGTGGTGTGGTGTGGTGTGGTGTGGTGTGGTGTGGTGTGGTGTGGTGTGGTGTGGTGTGGTGTGGTGTGGTGTGGTGTGGTGTGGTGTGGTGTGATGTGGTGTGGTGTGGTGTGGTGTGGTGTGGTGTGGTGTGGTGTGGTGTGGTGTGGTGTGGTGTGGTGTGGTGTGGTGTGGTGTGGTGTGGTGTGGTGTGGTGTGGTACACCTGTGGTGTGGTGTGGTGTGGTGTGGTGTTGTGTGGTGTGGTGTGTGGTGTGTACTGTGTGTTGTGTGGGTTGTGTGTTGTGTGCTGTGTCTTGTGTGTGTGTGTGTGTTGTGTGCTGTGTGTTGTGTGTGTGTGTGTGTTGTGCGTGTGTGTGTGTGTGTGTGTGTTGGTGTTGTGTGTGTGTGTGTGTTGTGTGTCGTGTGTCGTGTGTCGTGTGTCGTGTCTTGTGTTTTGTGTCTCGTGTGTTGTGTCTTGTGTCTTGTGTCTTGTGTGTTGTGTGTTGAGCGGTGTGCGTTGTGTGTTGCGTGTTGTGTGTTGTGGGTTGTGTGTTGTGTGTTGCATGTTGTGTGTTGTGTGTTTGTGTGTTGTGTGCTGTGTGCTGTGTGTTGTGTGTTGTGTGTTGTGTGTTGTGTGTTGTGTGCTGTGTGCTGTGTGGTGTGTGTTGTGTGGTGTGTGTTGTGTGTTGTGTGTTGTGTGTTGGGTGTTGCGTGTTGCGTGTTGCGTGTTGCGTGTTGCGTGTTGCGTGTTGGGTGTTGTGTGTTGTGTGTTGTGTGTTGTGTGTTGTGGGTTGTGCGTTGTGGGTTGTTGTTGATTGTGTGTGTGTGTTTGTGTGTAGTGGGTGTTGTGTGTTGTTTTGTGTGTGTTGTTGTGTTGTTTGTGTGTTGTGTGTTGTGTGTTGGTGTGTGTGTTGTGTGTTTGTGTGTGTGTGTTGGTTGTTGTGTGTTGGTGTTGGTGTTGTGTGTTGTGTGTTGTGTGTTGTGTGGTTGTGTGTGGTGGTGTGTGTTGTCCATGTGTTGTGTGTTGTGTGTTGGGTTGTGTGTGTTTGTGTGTTGTGTGTGGTGGGGTGTTGTTGTGTTGGTGTTGTGGGTTGTGTGTGTGTGTTGTGTGGTTTTGTTTTGGGTGGTGTGTTGTGTTGTTGTTGTGTTGTGTGTTGGAGTTGTTGTGTGTTTGTGTGTTGTGTGTTTGGTGTGGTGTGTTTGTGGGTTGTGTGTGTGTGTTGTGTGTTGTGTGTTGTGTGTTGTGTGTTGTGTGTTGTGTGTTGTGTGTTGTGTGTTGTGTGTTGTGTGTTGTGTGTTGTGTGTTGTGTGTTGTGTGTTGTGTGTTGGGTGTTGGGTGTTGGGTGTTGTGTGTTGTGTGTTGGGTGTTGGGTGTTGGGTGTTGTGTGTTGTGTGTTGTGTGTTGTGTGTTGTGTGTTGTGTGTTGTGTGTTGTGTGTTGTGTGTTGTGTGTTGTGTGTTGTGTGTTGTGTGTTGTGTGTTGTGTGTTGTGTGTTGTGTGTTGTTTGTTGTGTGTTGTGTGTTGTGTGTTGTGTGTTGTGTGTTGTGTGTTGTGTGTTGTGTGTTGTGTGTTGTGTGTTGTGTGTTGTGTGTTGTGTGTTGTGTGTTGTGTGTTGTGTGTTGTGTGTTGTGTGTGTGGTGTTGTGTGTGTGTGTTGTGTGTGTTTTGTGTTGTGTTGTGTGTGTTGTGTGTTGTGTGTTGTGTGTTGTGTGTTGTGGGTTGTGTGTTGTGTGTTGTGTGTTGTGTGTTGTGTGTTGTGTGTTGTGTGTTGTGTGGTGTGTGGTGTGTGGTGTGTGGTGTGTGGTGTGTGGTGTGTGGTGTGTGGTGTGTGGTGTGTGGTGTGTGGTGTGTGGTGTGTGGTGTGTGGTGTGTGGTGTGTGGTGTGTGGTGTGTGGTGTGTGGTGTGTGGTGTGTGTGTGTGTGTGTGTGTGGTGTGTGTGGGTGTGTGGTGTGTGTGTGTGTGTGTGGGTGTGTGGTGTGTGTGTGTGTGTGGTGTGTGTGTGTGTGTGTGTGTGTGTGTGTGTGTGTGTGTGTGTGTGGTGTGTGTGTGTGTGTGTGTGTGTGTTGGTGGGGTGTGGTGTGGTGTGTGTGTGTGTGGTGTGGTGTGTGTGTGTGTGTGTGTGTGTGTGTGTGTGTGGTGTGGTGTGTGTGTGTGTGTGTGTGTGTGTGTGTGTGTGTGTGTGTGTGTGTGTGTGTGTGTGTGTGTGTGGTGTGTGTGGGTGTGTGTGTGTGGGTGTGTGTGTGTGGTGTGTTGTGTGTGTGTGTGTGTGTGTGTGTTGTGTGTGGTGTGTGTGTGTGTGCATGTGTTTTGTGTGTTTGGGTGGTGTGTCGGTGTGGGTGTGTGTGTGTGTGTGTGTGGGTGGGTGGGTGTGTGGTGTGTGTGTGTGTGTGTGTGTGTGTGTGTGTGTGTGTGTGTGTGTGTGTGTGTGTGTGTGTGTGTGTGTGTGTGTGTGTGTGTGTGTGTGTGTGTGTGTGTGTGTGTGTGTGTGTGTGTGTGTGTGTGTGTGTGTGGGGGGGTGTGTGTGTGTGTGTGTGTGGGGTAGTGGGGATGGGGTGTGGGGTGTGGGTGGGGGTGTGGTTGGGTGGGGGTGGGGTGTGGGTGTGGGTGGTGGGTGGGGGGGTCTGGGTGTGGGTGTGGGTGTGGGTGTGGGTGGGTGTGTGTGGGTGGGTGGGTGGGTGGGTGGGTGTGGCGAGTGTGTGTGTGTGTGGGCGCGGGTGTGGCGAGTGTGTGGCGAGTGTGTGTGTGTGTGTGTGTGTGTGTGTGTGTGGGCGGCGGTGCGGGCGGCGGGCAGATGTGGCAGTGGCGGGGAGGGGGGGAACAACGACGACAAGGAGAAAAAATCCCAAAAAAGCCTAAATCAAGAAAAGAAGAAGGGGAGAACCAAAAACAATAAGACGATAAGCCTCATGCGATTCTGGTGCGAGGCAGGCACCCTCTTTTGCAAATTCGCACGCCCCGGGGCGTGTTCCAACCGGAATGCGAGCAGGGGCTTGGAAGTGGTTGCGACACATGATTGCTACTTGTCAAAGGGCGTCATATTGCACTCGCGAACTGAGCATCGATGTGCAAAGTTCATGAAATACGCTGTCTGAACGAGGGCCTCTCGCAAAGCCTCAGCCAAGCCATCCTTGCGAGGAGTCGCGCAGAATCCGTGATCTGCGAGCAATGCGAGCAACGGCATGCGAAGATATGATTTCGACTTATGAGAAGTCACTTGTCAGGACTCTCAATTGGGCTGGTGGGCTTGAAGTTTGGCTTCGGTCGGAATTGGGGTTGAGGGCCAAGTTTAGGGCCAAGCTGTCAAAGAATCCACCGAGGCCTCGGGCTGCAGGTGTATTGGTGGGCTAGACAGGCCCCACCCCTAGTCCCCGCCCTGGGTGGGTACGTTCCCGGACAGGCGGCTCAGAGCCAGCTAATAATTAACACTCACCACCCCCCCACCCCCCCCCCCCCCCCCCCCCCCCCCCCCCCCCGTGCAATGCCACAGCTTTGAACAAGGCTGCTCTTGCAGGCCCTCACCAAGGCGGATCGCGTAGCGCTAAAATTAAACTCATGACTCCTCGGTGATCCGAGGCCCCCAAAACGATTCGGACACCGAAAACAACTCGAAACCTCTTCCGCACATAAACCCCTTAAAATTAGGGGGGCCAGGCTCCGGGAGGCTCCGGTTCTGGAGCAACTCATTCAACAACTCTGCAATTTTTGGGCTTAATAAATGGAATCGTAAATGGAGTCTTAGCTGAGAACGTGTCATCTCGGCAGCTACTTTTTCGTGCTTCAAAAGTCTGAGAGGTAACACGGCAGCAAGACTGGATGGGCGCCGCTTCCAGACTCCATTGCAAGAATGTCAAGTGGAGGGCTACACCGCAAGGCCTGACATGCTCCTTTTTGCCTCCCTAGGGCCTGACGACTGCAAGAGTCTCAGAGGCAACACTAACAGGGTACACACGGGTACACTTCCTTAACCACCTCTACCTAAGATGGCTGAAGATCCTCACACGTCTGGCATCAATCCTAGCCTCTATTCCCACAACTCTGTGCAACTTGAGCCAGCCGTATTTTGTGCGAGTCCACCACTAAATCACTATGCAATACAGCTCGCCTCGCATAGCACGAACTCGCACACCAATTTGGGCAATCTGAGGCTATGCGCTTGCCTGAGCGGGAGCCGATCCGCCTATCCGGAGCATGGCAGAACGACTGGACCTGCGCAACTGCCTTGACGTCAAAAAAGGCAAGGACACGTGCTGGGATTACATCTGTTGAGATATGTTGAGATGCATCA